TGAGGATTTTGATGCTCAGGACTCGTTTTTGTAAAATTCAAAAAATATATTTTTTCACTTTCATTACCAGTGGTGCGTGTATGAACCATCCCGTATTTTTGTGCCGTTGTTTTTTTCAATGTTAATTATTACGAAAACTCATTTTAGAATGTGAAATAATAAAGATTTTTTGACTGAAACACGTGTTTTTATATTTTTCTTTTACTTGGGATCAAATGGGTTAACATAATTTCGAGTTGTGATTATGTAAACTCAACTGATTCGTTGGTCGTTCGAGTAGATGACTACTCGGTTCAGCAGCATCTCCACAGATTGTTCAGAAATTCTGAAAAATTTAATGAATTTCTCATAATCCTAAAGCAATATGATCTGGTTTCTCTACCTGAATTTCGGGGTCTTCTCAGAACTTCTACCACATTTATAATGACTTTTCCTTATCTGAAAAAAGTTCCTCGAATATATCAACAAAATCAATAATCATAATACACTAAGGAAAAAAACACATTCCAATCACCAAAACACTGGTAGAAAGTATTTGAATATTTTAAATGCATTCCTATTACAACACATCAACTGAATATAATATCAATCATTCAGTGCCTGATGGAACTTGTTGAGTAACAATACTTTTATACCTGTCTCATAACAACATATTAGAAATTAAAGGTATTTGTTTTCCTGATGAATGGAAAAGTACCTGATTAGCACCCTATCAGAATATTTGTGGCAGTATACTTGCGCGCTGCAGAGTTACTTGTTTTTGAAAAAAAAAAGATTTCAATAAAGTATGGTCTCTTCAAGCACTGAACGTAAAAATGTACGTTTTTGTGAAAATATGAATGTTTCCATTATTGACCGCTAAAAGGTTAACAAATCACATTTCATGCTGGTTTTTTTTTGGTTTATAACCTTCCACAATCTGCAAAAATGAAAGCTAAATGAATAAAGAATCTGCTCAAATATAGTAAAGGGCAAAGTGAAAAGTTCACTCCGAAAAGTTACTGAGTTATATAAACTACTGAAAAATCCAACTAGTCAGTAACTTGTCGTATTCATAAATTTTGCACACGAACTAAAAAAATTTCGGGATGAACTTTTTAGTTTGCCCTTCACTACCCTTCAGCAGATTATTGATTTAACTTTTATTTTTTCAATATAGAACAGCTCACAAAAAATGTATTTTAAAGGATATCTATATGAATAAACTTTAACTATATTAATCTTTGACATGTCACAGACTCTGACCAGTAATATTTATTAATATTTCCTCAAATAATATGCATGCCCGACCCGATCTTTAGTTTACTATTCCACCCATCGTTTTCGTTAACCTCTAGTCGTCAGAGGTAAATCAAAAAATTATCTTCATTCGAAACGGCTTACTTGTCAAATCCATAGTTTGAATTCCAATATACTAGATCGTAGTTAGAAAAAAACCTCTCATTTAACAAATATAAAACTGGTATAATACAATTTATCAATCTTAACTATCTAACACTATTGAAGTAACTATAAAAAATATGTAAGGTTAGTTGAATGTCTGTTGTGTATCTGGAAGAAGAGAGGCTTATATGAGGTTTTGAAGTTTGATCGGAAGTGTCGACATCTCAACAATAAGAGACCAGGCGCAAGAAAAAAGGCAAATTTCGGGTGTGCATTGTGCTTATTCTTATTCTATTTTCTTTCAACTCGCATATCATCCATAGCATTCATAGTTTGATTTCGGGAGTATGGATTTGGATACGGGGGGAGATGAATCTCCCCCTATAAAAAAAGCGAACATAGGAGATGGAATTGGTGACGATGGGGATAGCAACNATAAGTCTGACAATAAAACAAATGGTATACTTAGCGTCATTAAATGAGGTTACATTCAAATTTGTTTGGATCCCCGGTCACTCTAAAATAGATGGTAATGAAAAAGCAGATATACTAGCCAAAGTTGGCACATCTCTTAATGTTCCACTGAATATCAAGTTGAATAAACACAGTCTGTTGCCCATCTTCAAACAACGAATAAAAGATGCTTTCCATCAGGTCTGGAAGAGGGACGTACAATTCAAAGGTAAATCGTATTACCAAATCCATCCAGAGTACCCTAAAAACACCTGGTATCTTGAGTACCCTTATATGGATAGGCGACATATTACCACGATAATACGGATGAAAACGGGACATTGTGTACACAAAGAACATCTTTTCAGATTGAAGATTGTTGATCACCCTAACTGTGAATGTGGTGAAGTAGAAACGCTAAACCACATATTCCTGAAATGTCCAATCAATAAGATCCCGAACAGAGACTTGTATAATGATCTCATCCTCAAAGGCGTTGCTGCCCCCATGAGTATCACAACAATTTTACATGGTTTAAATCTTCCTATATTAAAAATAATAACACAATTTATAGACCACAACAAACTCAAACTATGATGTTCCTTAATTCATTTCAGTTTCATTCATTTCCATCCCAGTTACAACTATAATCATTCCTATTGTTAGTACTATCTGTTTTTAAGCCCACTTATCCTTAGCACACGCAGATACACAGAAGAACTAGAAGTCTCCGAAGAACGAATATATACCAAGAAACAATATGGATTACAGCATGATCACCGATCAGACAACGCTGTAACCCCCCGAATAGAGCTGGCTAAATGCGCCGCACGGAAGCAATAGCCAAGAGAACCTAGAGAGAGAGAGAGAGGCTTATATGTTTGTACGTGTTATAAAAAAATAAATTGAAATTTTATTAAAACAACGATAAAAATAAAATAAAAACAACAATAAAAATTTATTGGCGTTTCGGGGCGTGTATATGTAAGTTTATATGAAACCTGTTCGTTGTAATATAAATGTGAATAAAGATATGGATCCTTGCCACATCAATTGCTTCGAAAATTGAAATGTAAGATGAGAAAATAAAACAAAAATTAGAATGGTGAAACAAAAAAATTAGAAAATAATCCCAAAGAAAACAAAGATATGTATTACTTGATTTTTTATCAATTCCTACAAGAATTTTACTTGAAGATAGACTGTATATTTTCAGTACATTAATATGTATAATTCATTTTAATTACCTAATGAAAATCCTGAAATACTTCAAAGGATGCATAAAACATGTGCCTCGAGTTCTTAGGAGAACCCTATGGATATTAAATGAATATGTACGTAAATCTAAGTATCTTGTTAAATCGAATTGATGACAATAAAATTGAAAAACTTGAATCGTAGTTTAAAACGAACCTATAAAATGTGGCCTTATATCCACAAACCATAATATATCTGGTTATTTTTGAAATATAACTTAATTTGTCAAATAATAGTGTTGCCACCGTACATGTGTTGCCAATCAAGAAACGCCTGAAACTATCCGAAACAGTACAATGTGTACGTGAATATGGACAATATTTCACTCATCATAAAAGGGGAGTGTTGCATAATTGGCAATCCAGTTTATTGATAAATGTAAAAAAGTCAATTCACGAAAATATTTTGAGATTTTATTTGTAGTTAGTACATTGTAACTTTTACTGTTTAGTTTAGAATTTATAACAATTTGGCAGTTCACATTGGATGTGTAGCCATTATTATGAAAGAAAACGATTCTTCATCGGTAGTTGATCCAATGAACTCATATATTGGTATATTCTGAAAGTTAGCCAGTTTATATTGCCAGAAGCAGTCCATCAGAAATATTCTGTTGAGTTCAGCAATGTTTATCGCAATGTTGTTGGTAGCACTGTTCCTGATTACCAATTTAATGTCATCTGTCTGTTAAGTTGGAGTTACCTGCGTTATAAATATTTTATATAAGTATGACTGATTGTCTCTCAAGTTTAGTTTCGAGATACCTTCGAAGTTTGGATGTGTAAAGTAGAATTGTCATCTGTATTACATATCATATATTTATTTTTGTGACTGCCTTTATAAAAGTTTCACAGCAGTATTTGGTAGAGAATTACTTTTTTTCAGTTTCTGGAATTATAATGGCTAAGCATCATACAGGGTAAGTTTTTTAATATTTTGATCTGAAGAACTGGTATTAATATTTCACAACTCAAATTTTAGATCAAAGAATAGGAAATTCAGGTCACAGAAACCTCAGAATGTGAGAATAACTGAAAATCGCATAATCAAAAGAAACGCCAAGAAAACAAACTCAAGGCCAAACACTCCTAAGGTCCAAGACGCTCGCACGAAAATAATTCAGACAAAGAGGAAGACTGTAGTAGATGCAAGAGATGTTCTCTCCAAAATGGCTAAAACTCAGGATGCCAGAAACAAAATAAACAAAATGAGGGATGGACGTACACTATTACCCTCAACAAGTGCCAGTGTGAAGGTGATAGGAACCAACATTTTAAGGAAAACAGATCGCCATGGAAAAATCAGTTTGGTCACAAATAAGGCTAAGCCAAAGTCTGACATAAACGTTGCCATTCAGAAGCAGCTAGGCTTAATACCCAACTCTAGGTTGCCTCCTAGGAAATCTGCCTCTAAACGAAATGCTGCAGTTAATACTCAGGAAATTTTGCGTCCACCCGTAAGCATTCGAAAGACTATTCTGAATGATATGGATTACAATGCCGAAAGGTTAGAACCGATTCCACTGTATGATCCTGCTTTGTACAGGTGGACAAAACCAGGTGGGAGAGGTACGGCCTCTCAAATGATAAACTCATTGGAAGTCACGAGACAAGCTATGAGAGAAGCCTTGAGAGAAGAATTAAGTAATGGCTGGCCCACATATGCTTCCCACAAGTAAGTGTAAACGTTAGCAAGTACCTAGTTGAAATATTCTTGATCACAAATGATTTATGACATTGACCAATTTTAAATAATGATAACGAGGACAGTAATCAAAAAGTGTATTGCATTTTAGTGAGGTCTTTTTTTCAAATACAACTACCATGAAGATACCAAAACCTCGACATGTGTTTCAATCAAGATTAATCTTCCTCTTAAAGATGATCACTTGATGATCGAAACACCCGAGGTGTTAAAATAACGGTTTGGTATTGGGTAAAAACTCTAGGTAATATTCATTACTACTCCAAAGGTTCCAAACAGTGCATCACAAGTAGTAGTATCATAATAAGACGAAATATACTACGGACTCAAGATTTGAACCTTTTTACTATTTGTAAACAACTAACCCAAAGCTTTCAATCTGGCAGATGTCATATCATCCATTGTCACAGGGAATGTTCAGCGGAACTGTCAACTAAAGCATCAGCCATGTCTGTATATGAATCAATTTCAATCCAAATCACAAAGGATGATTTAATCAGTCATATAACGTGTTTGTGCTTGTTTTGATTAAGGCTATAACATTCAGGTCAATTCATTACTGTCCTGATTTTTGATATTTTTTCCATTTTTATTGTTTCGGATTTTGATGTTTCAGTTTTCCGTATTTTATCATTTGATACTTTCCTTTTCACTATTTTTTGGCACCCACCTGTATGTTGGTAGGTTTGCATACAGCATGGCCACTTGACACTGATTGATTTAATTCTCTGTATCAATATCAAAAATACTAAGTCCGGCCGCACACGGACCAGTTGAGGCAACCACAACATTGTGGCCACGTTGACTGCACTTCGCGGTTGACCCAACCACATTTTTGTGGTCGACTTGCGGTCATATAAACCGCACTTGCAGTTGGGGCAAATGACATCTATATTTTGTGGTGTCAGAGTTTAGTGCCAGTTTCATTACAGATTTCGAAGAAAGAGTACTACTACAGGAAGGAAATTTTTATATTTTGTTTGAAGGTGGTTGACAATGTTTCGTGGTGCATTTCATCAGTTGTCTAATATGATATAAATTGATTTGAAATTCCTGAAAGAATGTGTAAAGAAATTAAAAAGATTAGCTGAAAAAATGACAACTTCATTAAGCAAAAAACTGAAATTACAATGAAATAACATACAAGCAACAACCAGTAAACTCCGGCAACACGAAAAACACGACTGTGTACGTGGTTGGGTACGACTGCAAGTTTGTGGTTAGTGTTCGGCGGATGTCGCTATGACATCTCGGCGGAGATCAGCAACAAGTTGACTGCAGAAGCCCGTTTTGACTTTTGTGAACGCCCTTGTACTTGTAGTACAGTATTTCTTATGGGCGGTTTGACTTCACTGGAACGCGACTGCAATTGTGTGTTCGATCCGACCTCAAATATAGCTCGTGTACGGGCGCTCTAAGGGAGTACTATTACTTTGAGGATTTGTTATAAAAGTGTTTTGAGATTTTCAACCAATTTTTTTTTGACCTGAAGTTTTTCTTTGTATGAGGAAGTTTAAAGTAGAAGTTTGCCAATTGTCATTTTTGTAAATTTAAAAGATCATGTTAGGAAAGTTGTGAAAGGAAACTCCCTAAATCTATTAATAGAGTCACTCAGTTTTTTCTCGAATAAACAACACTATATATGAACGACACATTTATATTTTTATTATTAATGAAATAAATCAGAGGGGTCTGAAAACCAACCATAAGTTTGAATTTTTAATATTTGACTATTTTTTTTATATAGTTATGTTATGAAGTTATTTTTTAAAATATTTGAATAATTGAATGAGTGGCTTAATCATCCTATTCTATTTTCAGTAGTTTTCAAAAAATGACTGGAATTTACAACAAGGCTCCATTGCGCTCACAGAATCTTACAAGGTAATTGTCACTTGCCTTTTATTCACTTTTGGATGCAGTGAATCGACACTATTATTACAATTGCTGTTTGCTGAACTAATATAATATTATCCTTGACTATTTTTATATCTACAGAACTCACACTCGTGTTGCATCTTGTATTAGAACATATTCATGGTTATTTAAATTCGAGTCTATGCATGAGGATATCATAAACGGTAGGAGATAGAGAGTATTTTAAATTGTGGAAAAGTTATTTTTTTCCAGAATGTGACCATTTCTTGTTGAATAAATAGCCAAAAAGATCCATAACTCACCAATCTCAGTTGACCAAATTCGTAGCTTTATCATTGTGTTTCAATTATTTTTAATTGTAAGTAAGCCTTTCCTACTCCAAAATACATTAATCAATTGATGGATGTAGATGTTACTATGATGTAGATCTTCAGGAAAAGTGAGAAATAAAACTTCCTACGTTTTTATACCACTTCTATTAATTAACGTTACTGCAGTTTTGATAATAAATTTGCAGAACCATAATAAATTTGCAGAACCATAATAAATTTGCAATCTTTATAAATCCCTCACAGATATAATTGGTAATAATATAATAGATTTAATAGGTTCATGGTCCTTCAGTGCTATCAATAATCTAATTCTTTTAGTTAATATTCAGTATTATTTTGCTGAAATTTTGCATTATTTTTAATTAAGGCAAGCACCTGAAAGCACCTCTTAAGAAGATAACCTTAAGAAATATACTTCAGAAATATGCACAAAATACTATTAACTTTTATCTAACCATATTCTCTCCAAAACATGGTATATTTGATGACTAATAACTATTTCAGAACTCAACGGTTAGTACCATCTGGATACGTAGATCTGGACGAAATAGAAGAAGAAGAAATGCCATTGGCCCCTGTAAGGTCTACAATGAATCTTCAAGGGACTTCCCGGGTATCGAATGTACATTCTAGGTTAGATAACTCACCAAGCTCTCCTGAGTCTCACGGTATCTTCTCACAAACAAAAGTAGTTGTTCCTGCAGGACACAGGATTGTTGTGTCAAATTTGCAACAAAGTGTTACTCAAGATGACATAAAGGTATGTTGAAAAACTTTATTTTTTGTCTGAAATTTCTTTTTATATTTGTAAAATATCTACCCCGTTTGAAAAAATGTTGGCACATAGACGTTGTATCAGTTTCTTCAAAATGTAATGATATCATTTTGTTTGAAGTGATCTATTCACATGTTGGTAGCTTCATGTCTCCTTAAATTATGCAACATGGCGGGCGATGTTAGTTCAGTGCCACAACACGCTAAAGAAAACAGTGACTCTACTTGCAAACATTGTCTGAAAAAAGTTGTAAATAAAGTAAAGTGCATAAAATGTGAAGAGACTTGCTTGAAGATATCCTTAAAAACCATTTTATGATAAGAGGTGTGTATAAAAACCAAAAACAATTATTCAGCATTTGGTAGTGTCTACTGCAACTAATGTAAGGAACCTCAAGTTTAGCAACAATGAACTGTTTTAAATGCAGTTTTCAAGAAACAAAGGATGAACAGTTGGCTATCTGTGACAGATGTAACTGTAAATTATGTCAATCATGTGCCCGACTCTCTACAACAGAATATAGAGCAGCTGTAATGAAAGGGAGAAAGTTACTAATCTTCCTCTGTGGGGATTGCAGAACTACAACTCCCACAGACAATAAATTTGATCTACAAGATCTTAAAAATATCTTAAGAGAAGTTATTAACCGGGAATCCTCTGTATTCTATGAATCTGATAAATCTGAAATAATCACGGAACTTAACGAAATAAAGAATCAAGTAAATATTCTCAAAGAAACAAATATTCAACTGATACACTTGTTGGCCAACAAAGAAGTTAGTTCTGTGTTAGCCAAACATAGATCTGGAACTCCCACAATTAACCTGTCTCCTCCCCTAATAACATATGGCATTGAGGGAAAAGTCGCTGCTAATCAAACAGAGAATAATGGTAAAAGGAATGAAATCCCAAACCCAGCAAAGAATAACAATGAAACGAAACAAGTTGGGAATATAAGAAATAATGGTGAAAGATTAAATAGAACGAGGAATGTTAACACAATACCAGAGAACACAACTGTAGAAGAGGGAGCTCAAGACATACTAAATGGGGAGGCCACCGCCGAAAACAAGGAATATATAAACTCGACTAATGAACAGATAACGGAACCAAAAGATAATGGAGAAGGAGAGTGGCACATACAAAGGAAAAAACGATTTTTTAGGAGAAATGTGGGACAGTCAGAAGAAGAAGAGAAATTTCAAGGAGGAAAGCAGAGAGTACCTTTATGAAATATCGCAAAACGTAAATGAGTCTGATATATTGACATTTCTGGGCAAAAAAACCAAGGAACCCGAGGGGGAGTTCATTGTCAAGGATTTGAAAGAAGAAAGAAGACTGAAAACTTTCTTGGTAGCTGGAGACTTTAAGTTCAAAGATCTTTTCTATAAACCAACATTCTGGCCAAAAGGAGTGAATTTTAGAAGGTTTAATTTTAGTAAGTACCACGAAAAGTATCAGACAAGAAATGTTATTGGAACGGAAGATGAAAAAAGACCAAGCTCTTTTTTAGACCAAGTGAAATCATCAACCATCAAGGAATAGAAGTCAAAAAAGGAGAACCTTTCATATCAAACAATAAGAAAGTTTCTCAGAATATTATCACTCTCCTGAACTTCAATATCCAAGGTATATCGGAGAAAAAATATCAGTTGGAGGTTCTTATTGATGCACATAACATATATATTGCTTGCTTTAGTGAGCACTGGTTAGCGTTATCTGAAATGAAGAGTCTTACATTTACTGACTACAATCTTGTAAATTTTTACTGTCGAAAAGATCAAAATCATGGAGGAGTCTGTATTGTAGCCAAAACTAAGTACATTGCAAAACCTTTTAAGTATGAAAAATGTGTTGAAAAACACTTTGAAATAACTATAACTACAATAGAGAACCAAAGTGAAAAAACTAAGTTATACATAGTTGTAGCCTACAGAACACCAGATAGTAATATTGACATTTTTGTTGATGAAATGTATGAACTGATGTGTCATATATATGAAAAAAATTATTATTATATTGTATGTGGTGATATAAATGTTAATTTTTTAACTGACGGTAAGGATGTGAAAAAAATAGTGAATTTATTTCAAAAGTTTGACATGAAAAATTGCATTAATAAACCGACACGTATCACAAGAACAACATCAACAAGTATCGATGTCATATTCTCGAACATTACAATAAATTCAGTCGATATTATAGACACACATTTGTCAGATCACACATTTCAAACATGTACATTCTCAATACCAGTGAATAAGGAGAATATAAAAAAAACAATATTCTCACGTGATTACTCAGGTGCTAATATGATAACATTTAGAAATCTGTTATTGTCAGATGAGTGGTACGATACTTATAACTCTAGTACGGTTGATGAAGCTTTCAATAACTTCCATGCCACTTACGAATATAATTTCCAAATGGCTTTTCCTCTAAAACATAAATTCCTTAAAAACCGTAAGAAGCCTTGGTTTACTTCAGAAATAAAAGAGCTCCATCAAACTTTATGTGAAATGGCTAAAGTTGCAAAAATTACTAATATTGATGTTATTCGAGAACGGTACAGAAATTTAAAAGTTATTTTTTCTATGTATATCATACCTATACCTAACTAGTCAAGTTTCGGACTTATGAACATTTATTTGTGAAAATGTCCCATCAGAATGGTATTTCCATTCTACCGAATGGAATAAGCATTTTTTGAGGTGTATCTGTCATAATCGCACTTTTTCCTCGTAATGCCTTAGGATACCCTCTGAATGCTTTAGGAGAAATGAAAATATTTTCTTCTTGAGGCATATTTGCAACTGTTTCTGTAGATGTGGTAGGAACATTAGTGGAGATGGGTTCTTCGGATATTGATGCAGGTTCTGGAACATCTAAATGTGTAGAAGGACGCAATACGTCTACGTGAAATGAAGGTGATTGAGAATGATCTGTAACGGAGGAAGTTAAAAAGTCTGAATCCGTAAAAACGTCTTTGTTAAGCGGGAAAATTACAGACTTTTTGAACCCTGCAATTATGTTAGATGGAGTTATTGCATTTGGTAGTGCTTTACCGAAACATTCAGCTACTTGATGAATTGTTAGGGGAATGCCAGGATGGGCAAGGAGCCAGTTATAGACAGTTTCATTATAGTACGCTTTTAGAGGTCCGTAAATAGACACATCTAATGGTTGGGTCTTATCACCAGTGTGGGGAGGTATAGTGAGAAGTGTTACTCCATTCTCCTTGGCTATATTTAACGCTGTTATGCTTATGTGCAATTTGTGGTTATCGCATATAACGAAGGTTGGATTTTCTTTGCTGCTGCTGGTATATTTTATAAAGTGATTTAAAACTTCAGGAAACAACTCTGTTGTCATCCATCCAGATAGACTAGCAAGTCCAAGTGTACCTGCTGGAGCTTCTGTGAGCATGTGTTGTTTAAAATTTTTTCTTGGGAATACGAGCACAGGAGGAATAAACGTACCTACTCCTGAAATAAATACAACACCAGTTATTAGTTGCCCTCGTACAGCACTAGTACATTTATTTAATTGTTTAACTCCTTTCTTGGCAACAACTTTTTTAGGTTTCTGCACTGTTGTCAGTCCTGTTTCGTCAAAATTGTATATTCGAGAACCATCTGATATCTGTGGTAGCCTTTAGTAGACTTTTTTCAAATTATTAAGAAACATGTGAATATTGTGTTTATTAAATGAGGTTAATCTCGATAGATTACAAGCTTCAGGTGTTCTAATGCTCAAGTTGTTGTTACGATGTAAAAATCCCCTTAGCCAGTCTTTACCCGCACTCTTATACTTTTTCCAACCATCAGGTGTTTTTAACTTATTTATTAGTTGTTGACAAAGTTTACGTTCCCACACCTTAATAGATTATTTATACTTATTTATAATGCTTTCTCTTTTCGTCCTCGATATTTTTAACTTCATTTTATTTACATTGTAACATACAGTTGCGGTATAATAAGTTTTTGAGATGTTTATTTGTTGTTTAGGCTTCAGTCTCCAAATATTTTTATTTTTTCATATATTGTAACACAAAGTTGAGTTACAAAACTGTTTGTCAACAAGGTTTTTTTATTTTTCAAAACAATAAATATATATATTGAGAGTTTATTTTGGACTTGATTGCTTTCTTCCTAGCTTGGGAAGTTCCCTATATTTTTTATTGAGAGGTAGAAAGCCAAAAACTTTCCCAAATATTGTTATTTTTACTTTGTTACATACTCATGTGATTGGGCCTATTAATGGCATGTACTATGTCTAAATGAATAAATAAACAACATAACTAATTCATTTATTTTTCCATTACAGGAACTATTCGAAGACATAGGACAACTTCTAGCAGCTAAACTGGTTCGTCCTGGAGTAGCAGAAGTAATTTATAAGAATCTGAAAGATGCCCAGAAAGCGGTTGATACTTATCACAATCGGCAGCTTGATGGACAGCCTATGAAATGTCTTTTAGTTAACAAAAGACCTCTGAATTATCCCACCGCTCCTCCTATTACGAAATCAGAATCGTAAGTACATTCCTAAAATGATGCTTTTCATATCGATAACTTTGGTATATGTATATGTTTGAGAATATTTTCTAATAAATGTTGTAAAACTTAATCTTTTTTTAGCAATAAGACACAATGTCAATTGACACCTGAACTTTTATTTAAACTATGTTATTAGGGTTAGGTCTAATTTCTAATTATTGAACACATATTTATATTTAAAGGTCAATTCTGAACATTCCCATTATAATTTTCAGTTACATACGTACAACTTTATAGAAGGGACGATTAAAGAATGCACAAGCGTTATTAGTATAAAAAACCATTCAGCACAGAAACAATGTAAAACAATTGTCCTAACAATATTTTAAAATAAAATATCGATGGAAATGTTAGAGAACTAAACGGTGAAAACATACTTAATTTCGGATCTTCTGAATGCCTCCAAGGAGCTTGTAAAAAAATAATCCTGACTCATTAGCCTGCCTTAAATTCCGTGACATTGGACTGATGAATCCATACTTTTTTGAAAGGTAGTATTTGTTTTCATTTGTCTCTAAAATGTTCAGATGTTCTGGACAATAATAGTGACCTGAATAAAAACAACTTGAATAAAAACAGTAAGTTTATCTGGATTCGCTTTTCCAAAGTTGTCAAATGGGGGAATGAACAGATGTCACTGTAGTTGTAATGCCCCACTTGAAAACCCATTTTGTAAGCAGCAGCAGATTTTTTCTGGACTCTTCCTAATAGAACAAATAATAAAAGAGGCACATTCTGAGTTCAATCTTACTAGTGCACAATACAAAATTCTCATTTTTGAATTGAAAGGGGTATATTTTTAGGAGTGACTAATTTTTTGGGGAAGAAAGTTTTTGGCTTTCTACTACTCCATCTTGATACAAAAAAAGTGGGAATCTTCCAAAGAAAGGAAGAAAGCAATCAATTTTTAAAGAAGTAACTCTATACATAGATGTGTAGATCATGCAAAGAAGTAACTTTCAGACACAAACTGGAAGATTTACACATTTTTTTGTATCAAGATGGAGTAGCAGAAAGCCAAAAACTTTCTTCTCCAAAAAATTATCATTCTATTAAAAGAGAAGTCTTTACTGGTCCTAGATACATAGCCTTAGAGATATAGTAATTTGAATATAATACTATTGATATGAGTTTTCAATGTTAGTTAGTGTCATTAAACATAATACCGAGATCTTCAACTTCCTCAACTAGGTTCAAAGATAGGTAGTTTATACAACATTCAAAGGTAATAAGTAACTGAATACGCTGACCCATTACTTGGGGAACATCATTGACACTATTCACACTCAGTTCAACTGAGAAAACTACCATGTAGTGAAACATGTATTGATAAAGACTATATTTATGAGCAAGAAAAAATCAATGATTGGGGTGGGAATAATTGATCTAAAAAATATTTGATTTCAAGGGGAAATATATTTTTTCTATACTCTTGCAGTTGTTTTAAACGATATTTGCTACCTATCAACGTGCATTTTGTTTTATTAACATTTAACTTGAGGCCGTTGTCACATAACCACTTGTTTATATTTGATACCTCATTCAAACATTCTGAGATTTCATTAACAAATCAAATATTCACACATATTGATGCAGGTGACTGTCCGACTCATGTGTCTTGGAGTCGTGCATTTGACTGTGTCAATCATGAAAAACTGGCTTCAAAATTGGAATATTTAAGGGCTGTTTCACTCAGTTTGATAAATTAATTTCTCCAGAAATGGGATCAATTTGTGTCATTGCAAATGACCTTCAAATTTAACGTTGAACGTGAAAATATAACAATGGGTGTACACACCTGTGGTACCACAGGTCCTGTTTTGTTCATTATCTATGTAAACTCTATTATTGAAGACATTAGTTACACAGCCTATGCTGATGATTTTTCATTTATTTTTTCTGCTCCTAGTACTACAATTTTATGAAATGAGTGTTCAAGAGCATTAATTCAAGTATCCAGTTTTTTAATGGGCACGATTTATTTTTCAACACAGATAAAACACAGGTTATTCGCATTCAGTCACCAGAAAAAAATTGAAAATCTTCAGTTCAATGTAAATTCAATGTCTTTAAAAAGTGATTGTAGTGGTGTTAAGTCTTCAGGTACTTATTTGAATGAATAGAATAGTCATTGCCAACATCTAATGTCTAAACTTAATTGCCTGAAGTTTCTTTTCATTAATTTAAAATAATTAATAAAATAAAATAATAGAATTTACTATGCTCATGTGGACTCTAGTATTAGCTAAGGTGTTTGTTTTTGGGGAGGGTCAACTTCAGCACAAAATGTATTCATTGCACAAAAGCACATTGTACAATGCATAGCAAATATTTCCCAAAGAGATTCTAGTAGACAGTAATTTAAAAAATATAATATTTTTAACTCTGACATTAGTCTATATATTTAAATGTTTGTATATGTGTTTAAAAATAAGTCAAATTTTACATTCAATAAGAGTATTCACCATCACAATACGAGAATCAAAAACCAGTTTCCTGTACCAATTGTGAAAATGAAAGTTACTCATTCTGGGCAAGAATACATTGGTCCAAAAATTTATAATAATATTCCTGAATATGTGAAGTCTTCAAAGCAACTGCATAATTTTAGACAAACACTGAAAGCATATCTGTTGAAAAGTCGTTATTATACACTAGCAGAATCTTTTCAATAATTCTTAGGTTTGTTCTTCTTTTACTATTGCCTCATTTAATTTTTTAATTAACTTTTCAATTTATTGTGTTGATAGTTTCCTATACAATAAATTAAAAGTACAATTTTTACAACATCATTAAGATTACATTCTTGCCACTGACCATCACATTTCCATATCATTGAAATATCTGATTTTTTCTTTTGGATATGCAAAATTCGTTGTTCTTTATAGAAACAGTTAAGGAACTGGAATTGTATAGGTGAAGTACTATTTTGTTTTAGGTTTATGCAAAATCGTATTGGACTGCATTGAAAACAAACAAATAGAAAACTATGTAAGTTGTCTTACAATCGTTTTATTTTTTGTTTTCAGAAATTTCACATCTAGGAAATTGCCAGCTGTATCACCGTGTCCGCCTACTAATAAGTTGGTACCAGATATCGGTACCATTCACAAAGTTTTGTTTCATCGAAAGTAATTGCTTTTTTTCAGATTAATCATTTTGTCTTGTATTTATTTAAACCGTTTAAATATTGGTACAATATTGGTGCGGTTTCTTTTTTATTTGATATTGTTTGTGAGTTATTCTTGAAAACATTTAAGAAATCATGTATATTTTAGACTAATAAACAATTTACTAGTAAAAATATCATGCAAAGAAGTAACTTTCAGACACAAACTGGAAGATTTACACATTTTTTTGTATCAAGATGGAGTAGTAGAAAGCCAAAAACTTTCTTCTCCAAAAAATTATCATTCTATTAAAAGAGAAGTCTTTACTGGTCCTAGATACATAGCCTTAGAGATATAGTGATTTGAATATAATACTATTGATATGAGTTTTCAATGTTAGTTAGTGTCATTAAACATAATACCGAGATCTTCAACTTCCTCAACTAGGTTCAAAGTATTTGTTTCTTATATTCTTATCTGTGTATGAATGTGAGTAGGAAACAAATGAAAACCCTAAACCACTTCAAGTAGTGGTGGAAAATCAACTTATTCTTTTATCAAATTGCATTCACTTTTGATTTCTGCATCAAAAGTAGAACATAACTCACAGGAACAATTCAACTCCATTAATCAATCAATCAATCAAACATTTATTGAAGCAGTTTTCCTTCACAATCACTGACAAGAAAAAACATAACATCATCATGAAATACTGGCTGATTCAACAGGTCAAACAAACATAAAAAAGATAAAAAAATCAATATAAAACATACAACATACATAAAAAAGTTTCTAAGCTACAATCAAATTAAAATTCGAGTAGAAACTCATCCACAGAGTAGTATGCTTTTTGCAATAGAAAAATCCCGAGTAGCCTTTTAAAGATATTGATATTTGAGGATTTAATGTCCTCACTAAGCTTATTATATAGCTTAACCCAATGCACATGGGGTGATTCTTTGATACTGTGAATCTACTATAAGGTTGATGTAGTTGAGAGTTATTTCTGGTGAAATGTTCATGGATTTGCTCATTTCTCTAATAAACAACTTATACATGTTTCTTATTAATATGCATTAGCATATTAATAAGAAACTTGAATATTAATTCAAGTAAAGAAACTCAAACTTCATTAAGGACTGTATGCCATGTAGAATCTTTTATAGCTTTTTCTTATACTTTTATATTCAAAATTTTTATATTCAACATTTTCCTTAAAATTTTCTGTAACTGGGTGTACACCTGTTAGAATAGTTATCTATCTAATAATAAAGTAATTTTTTGGTTCAATTTAAGGAAAAACTTCATACCCCTTTTGAAATATGTACTTAACTTTTGAACAAAGTTTGAAAAAAATCTTTGTGATAAGTTACAAATGCATTTTGTAATACTAGCACAATATTGACCTGAACGCACAAAATAATTTGTATCTGATGTTGAAAAGGTCCACCTGCTACAAATATGCATGTTTTCGTTTCTTGTTCCTATACACTTACGTACTCTTTGAAAAATGCTCGGACTGTTTTCGGTAAAGAAAGGTTGTTGTTTTCTATTTCTGCTTCTTTTTACAAAAATTGTGGGATACTTCCAAAAGAAGGAAGAAAGTAATAAATTTTGAAATAAACTTTTTACAAAGATATGTAGATCAGGCACAAATTGGAAGAAAAAGCTCTCTCGAAACAACTACCTTCATATGAGCATTAAAATACACAAAAGAAAAGGTATTTTCAAAACAACAACTTTTATTTGAACATTAGAAAATCACTTTTCCCATTCTGTTTGTACTCCAAACATTTGTCATGGAACTGAAGCACAATCATTCATAAGAAAGCTACACAATAAAATATATGGAACAGTTTCAATATAAAATTTCACTTACTTGGAACACTACCATCAGAAGTTTCCGACATTTTTTCATATAAAGAGATGGACACGTAGAAAGCCAAAGCCTTTGTTTCTAATAGTTTAACAAGAAACCATGATGAGATTTCGCAACTATTCTTCAGTGTGTATTAATTAGTATGCTAAAAACCATTGTTTTAAGATCATCTCACAGGGAATAATCGAAACTACCCACAAATGGAAATATTTTCCATTAAGGCTGTCAATTATTCCTTGAGACACTGCCGGTAATTATGCCCTCTCAAGAGAAAAGGGTTCAAACAAGTAATCACCCCATATTCCAGCCACATGTTGATGAAAACTGCTCCTAGTGACAGGATTGCAAAATTGCATGCATATGGGTTTTCTTCAGCTAAAAACGATTACTGTGAAAGTTTTTGTTGGCTGTTCTATAAAAATGGCTTCATGAGTGAATAAAATTTCAAATAATAGATTTTCATAATTTTTTGAAGACATCTGGCAAAAGTGCATGCATATGGTAGGGATAAATTGAAAGTCATGGAGAATTTTACAATTCTTCTTCAAATGCATGTTCTATGGATATTATAAAAAGGGAAATTTGAAATTTGAAATTTCTATTTGGAAAACGCCCTTCATACGACTGCCTGGATTCCAGTGTTTTACCCTCAAGAAGCAACATGTAATAGATATCTGCAAATTTATTATTCCTTAAACGGATCATGTTTTTTAATTTTTTTTTCTAATGATTTAATGAACAAACTTACTAAGGTTCAAAAATTAATTAATGGTCATTAATATATAATTGCTAAAGAAAAAGTGGCCCATGTGCTATAGACGTATGGTTAAGAGTTTTTGATTTGAAGAATTTTTCACAAGATATTGACTTGAGATGGATTATTAAAAAAATTGAAATGGCGAGTTTTTGGAGTCGAAAGAAGAAGTTGAGAAAAATATGCAGGGTGAGTTAACAACTATTCAATTTCTTTTGATTCAGATGGGTGTAGCCAACCAACGCTATGAACCCCAAATCATCAAATCAAATATCAATCAAATCATCAATATCAAATAGTAATTATGAATAAAATATAAATACTGGATTTCAAAATAAAATAATATAAGAAACGTTCATAAACAATAATATCTAAATTTCTTAATTCATAAAATAAACTTACAAGTTTGTTATTGGGTTATTCGTTAATTCAGAGAGTATATTAATTAGCATTGAGGAAATTGAAATTCAGACATACAATAGGCAGAGCATTGTAAGTGAGTTTTCAATTTTGGTTTTAATATGTCTATTGGAGCATCGTTGATGAAGCCTGGAAGAGAGTTGAACCATTAAGCTTTTTATTTGTAGAGGTTAACCTATTATTGGTAATGGAGATAATGGTAATTATTTAGTCAGATAATTGTGGATATCTCGGTTAAGTGTGTACAAATGCATGTGTGTTTTCATGTGGACTAATTCATTGAAGGAAGTGAGATTTTTGGGAAAGTTTTTGGCTTTCTACTACTCCATCTTGATACAAAAAATGATGAGGGGATCTTCCAAAGAAAGGAAGGAAGTAATCAATTTGAAAATAAGTTACTCTATACATGGATGTGTAGATCATGCAAAGAAGTAACTTTCAGACGCAAACTGAAAGAAAGTCCTCCTGAAACAGGTACTTTCATATAAACATTTAATTACACGAAAGTAAAAAAAAATCTTTCTAAACAAATACTTCTATATGAACTTCTAAACAGAAGATACTTTTCTCTACTCAGTTTGTATTTCAAACATTCGTTGTGGAATAAAAATCAGATATCATTCACATGAGTTCTACTTTAAATGAATGGTAACAAATTGCACTTATTTCGCCTTAAGACACTTGCCCTAAGGCTCTTCGGTACCAAATTGGATAACATTATAGAAAATACACATAATTCATTCATGAATTACGATTTTTAATGTCACGGAATAAGCTTGATCTGCTTATGTCATCGATGACATTGTAATGACATTCATTCACCTATTTGATTTAATCCCAGGCAAGAGGAATCTTATTTGAATTGAAGGGGTTATATTTTTAGGAGATATTAATTTTTAATTTTTGGAAATGTATAGATTTACTTATTTTCAAATTGATTATTCTTCCTTCCTTTCTTTGGAAGATTCCCTCATCCTTTTTTTTTGTATCAAAATGGAGTAGTAGAAAGCCAAAAACTTTCTTTCCCAAAAATTAATCACTCCTAAAAATATAACCCCTTCAATTCAAAGAAGTGAGATTATTTTGAACTGAATGAATCGTGGATTATAGCTTTCAGTCTGTGTATACCGACTCTAATGTCTCGTGTGGATTTTCCAAAATGATATATTGGTAGCAAAAAAACTGTTCAAGTTTCATCATCCATTTTCAAATATAGTGTGTTTTATTGAGCGCTTCCTATCTTTAAATTTAAATAAAACAAAGGGATATCATCGATATCGTTATTTGTTTGAAATACCTATTGATGCCATTATGTGTGGAATATAATATCGTTCAAATGTCCGCCATGCGTTTTTGTAGCATCCGAAATGTCCAATTTTCCACGACTCTGGCTTGTGCAGAATATCATGAGTGGCACGTAACGCCGTCCTGTCGAAACCACATGTCGTTGGTGTCAACGTCGTTCCCAAAGAAATATGGACCGTTAACAACACCAGCCTGAAATCCACACGAGATGCATTGGACGCTCATGTGGATTGTCCCAAATTCGACATTTTTTTTGTTCACGTATCGTTCATCAAAAAATGAGCCTCATCGCTGAAGATCATTTTCTGATGAAAATTATAGTCTGTTGCCAGACTATTCCAGAGCCCATTCAGCGAACACACGTTGTTGTTTTTCTTGTTGCTGATGGTACCAAGAAAAGCATACCAAATGTGGTGCTCAGAAGTGAAAGTATTTTTTTTTGTAAATGGGAGGTACATTTTTTATTTCATGAGGGAAAATGAAAGTTTTATACAAAAATAATTTATAAGTAGGTAGCCATCCTAACGAGTTCAACATATCCCTTATTGGAGTCAGTTTTTGTATATTTTTAGGAGAGATTGATTTTTGGGCTTTCTACTTCTCCATAATGAAACAAAAAGGAAGATTCCCACAGTTTTGTGTCAAGATGGAGACATAGAAAGCCAAAACCTTTCTCAAAACTAACCTAGCTGTTGCTTGTCGAAAAATCATAAGGTATACAGGGTGTTGTTTCAAAACATCGAGAATTTCGACATCAATAAATTCGTCCCGATGCCAAAAAACATATACCGTTCTCACTCATAGGAGTGAGAGTTTGAATAGCTTTCAAAAGTTGCAA